TTATTATAGAACTATCATATGAATAGTTTCCTAAAGTTTTACAGTTATATGATGAGTATACAACAAGCTACACATATAACTTTAGTCATTATCTAATTTAAGTAGTCCGCTATACAGACGATTAACTATCTGTTAGTTCTACACTATGCTGCCATACCTGCTATCTACCTGTGAGTTACCTATTTAAACACTGATTATTAATCTTTTCTCCTATCCTAAACTAATGTCACCACTATGACCAACTGCTTAAGCTAGCTAATTCACCTGTAAATCTATTCTCTGCACAGCTTAGATCCTCTTAAGATACATATGCCCAATGTATTGTGAGCCACAGAGCTCTAGTTAATCTTAGAAATAAATCTACTAGAGTAGTCTATACCTATTTTATGGATTTATCTAGTTTAGATCCTTGTAGATGTTTGTACAACTCCAGTTTCTACTGTGGCTCTCTACTAGTTTTCTGTGTTTATCTTCTCAGATATTTCACAAGACAGATCCTTCCAATCTAGTTAGCCACCAAGTCAGTTTGATATTACTGATCCTCTTTGTAGAACAGATTTATACGTATCTAACTCAATCTACATTTTTTGATAATAGTTTTCTTTTTAAATTAAGCATTAGCTAGTATGACTGTCAAAAGCTATACTACTTCATCAACTCAGAATTTCTACCATACAAGTTCCTTGCCCATTGATCCTATCAAGATTTATTCGTATAATATTACATACTTTGTCACACTTCCAATATCTAAATGATATTAGTGTAATATAATTTACAGAATTACAATCTCCAGAAATAAACAAAGTTTACTATAAGTTAGATACAACGGTCTAAGTAATTATTCAAATTTGTTGACAATAGGTTTTGAACTCTAGACCTCTTGCATAGTAGTCTGGCAATCTAACTACTACACTAAGATCACCAGACCTTGAAATTAAATTTATTTCATAAACAATAAGGCTATATATATATATATATATAAAGATCTTATACATTTATAATTTAAGTATTAACTAAGCTTGATAACTTTAATTTTCATTATCTCATTCCCAGCATCGTCTTTTGGTGCACTATTCAAATTTTCTAGTATTTAGTTTTGATTAATTACTATTAATTACTAGTAAAAAAAAAACAAAAAACAATAGTCTACAATCATTCTACTTTAAGAAATATTCTGAATCGAAATTTGTAATTTCAGATTTGATTTCTTTAATGAAGACTATGATTGAGATACTTAAAGATACGTAAATGTAAATACCACAGAGCATTTATATTTGACTTTATCTAGGTTCAAAAATTGAAAGAAATTTTAATAGCTATAGTTCGAGTTTACTAAGATGAAAGCTAATTCACTAAAAGCACAAGGCAGAATATTATAAAATTCTCAAGATTTAGTGACTTTGTATAATTTAAATTATCATTATCTAAAATAATATAAATAGCACTAAAATTATACAGAGTATCAATATATAGTTAAGTACTTACTGCATTTATTAGATGAATTTATTTCATAGACTAATCACTAGTCATTTCACTAATCATTTCAATAGATTGAGCAGAGCAATAAGAAACTAATCTATAAGTGACACAGATTCATATTAATATTATAATCCTTTTTATGATATATTTATAATTTAATTATTCATTTTTTTTTTTTTTTTTAGATTGTTTAGAATTTGATAGATAACCTAATTTTAAATACTACAAGTATAGATATTAAATACATAAAGTATAAATAATTTTATTTTTAACTACTCTAAGACTCTCTATATATAGATTCATATTCATTATATCTAAATAATATAGATGAGTATAAGTATTAATAATATTTATTTTTGATAAGATAATCTTTAATATCATCATAATACTATAACATAACTATTTAATTTTGTTTTTTTTTATATAAGTGGGAATTAGGAAAAATGTTAACAAAATTGTTATTTCTTTTCAGAAATAACAACTTGGAAACTAACTTAGGTTTTAAATTGGAACATTATAGGATAATGTGATTTCTGGTATCAGAAAATAGACATTTACTAGAAACAGAAGTAGCAGGTATACTTAAATATTTTCTAGTGAGTTGAGAAAGTTTTGCAAATTGAATTTCTTGAGTTTTCTACTATAAAAGAGAGTTGGAGTCACAAGAAGCTAGTGGTGTTTGCTTTAAATTAAGATAAAAATCTAATTTATCAATTGAATATTGCAATCTATGAGTAGTATCAAATATAATATCTTCAAACATTTTTTTTGAAAATTGTCTTGTAGAATTTGAAGTAGCAGATTCCTCAAGTAAATTATAAAACTAAAATTATTAGAATTAGTTTTTTTTTTAATTTATTTTAAATTTTTAAGAATTTGCAAATTGATACTTACTTCTAGTTCTTTGAGTATTTCAAATACTTGTATATCTAGTAATTGGAGTTGATATAGGTATTCACAAATAGTATCATTATGAATTTCATTACTTGTAAAGGCTATTTCTTTTAACTGTAGATCTAACAATATAGAAAGAAGACAAATATTTGATAGATTATTCCAATACTTGAATAATGAATAGTAAATATTAGTTTGTATTTTTTTAATAGTCAAATTAAGATTAGTTTCTAACATATTCAATTGATTTTTTTGTAATCTTGTATTATGTTAAGATTGCATCATAACTACATTTTCTTCACAGTCAGATAAATTTGAGGATTCACTCAAATTTTTAGATTCTAAATCAAAATTAGATATTTCTTAAATATTAAAAAAAATAAATTATAATAATAAAAAAAAAAATAAGTAAATTTAAAGTAAGTAAATATTTACTCTACTTTCATTATTTATTTCTAAATTGTCATTAATATCAGCATCTAATGCATAATGATACTTAATTGCTGTTATTAAAAGAAAGATAAATGCTATAGTTGGATAGCTAGTAGTGTTATAAAATAGGTTTTAGCATATTTCTTAAATATTGTACTTTTATATTATTATATATATTTAGATTTAG